AAGAACTTAATGTTAAGCAGCAATAACAACTTACAAGGATATGGAGCACTTCTTCAGTACAGGATTTCCAGCTTTCATACGAACAAATGTAATATAGCACACTGCACTGTAGTTATGGTCAGTGAATCAGAGGGCATTTATTTGGTCTAAGACACGGCATGTCCCCATGAGTGGGAATGTGCATTCCCCAGGGACCTCTAGCAGCAGCACATATTTGCCACTGCTGGTTGTCCCCAGGGAACACCTCTGCATGTGCACTCTGGCACATGGCAAGTTGCCCCAGGTGGGCTAGGGGAGGCTGGGGACAGCACCTAGGCTGGCCCTTGCAACCTTACCTGGAGTCCTAAGGGCCTCCCTGGGCTCCAGCAACGGCAATCCAGGCTGGTCAGCAGCTGGAGCTTGGATCTGGCTGGCCAGGCTACAGTTTCACATAGCACATACTGCTGTAATGTGCACCACCCCACTTCTTTCTGGTGTCAGTTTTTTAACACCAGGATTTCCCGGTGTCAAAAACCCCCACCGTGCTGCAAATTAGCAGCACAGTGAATGTCTGCATGTGCAGCGCATGTGGTTTGAGATGCAACAGACAGGCCTGTGGTGCCACAAACCTCATGTGCATGCTCGTGGGGACACACCTGCAAGGAGCAAGGCAAGCCCCTTCTCCAACAACAAGAGATAAGGGATCTTTAATGTCTATGTAGACTGATTGGCCTCAGCTTTTAATGCTTCAGCAAGCAGGTAAGTACATAAAATTAAGTACCTAAGAACCTAAAAAGGAGAAAAGGAGAAGTTGACCCTCACCAAGGTATCCTGAACATTATCAAACCATCAAGCCAAGTCTGTTACAGTAAATGATGGAGAGAATCTTATTGTAGGCTCCTGGCATTATACTTAAGATGAGATAAACCTGTTAATCACATCTAAAATAGTAATCTGGCTACATGTTTAGGTAACTAAAAGCAAAACAAAATAGGAAGTCCCCCACAAAAATATTCTGCAAAATATGTGTGATTTTTTGTGGCTGGTTTCCATTAAGCCTTAAACTCAATGCGTGGTAGGGTTCTTGCCATGCAGCCTGGTGCTGGGGCCTGGCTAACAGCTCTCCCATGGCACAAGGCCAACAACCTCATAGTGCAGCCCTGCTGTTTGCAGGATCCTGAGTCAAGGGAAGTTTATTAGCTCAGCTGAGGTGCCAGGTCACAGGAACTGTGGAACTCCCTGCAACCCAGCAGGTTGACTTCCTTGTCCAGCAGCTCCCATGGATACATCCCAGCCATTAGGACCCTGAGGTGAGGGAGAGTTTCCTTGAACCCAGGTTCCTGTGCACTGAGATCTTTAAAAACTGCCTGTGCAGTCCAGCTGCACATACGTCTTTTGGACATCCTCAGTACACAAGAATCCTCCTGTATCCTGTTGTGCTGGGACTTTAAAAAACTGCAGATGAAGTTGGGCTGCACACAAGGTTTTCTGATGTCCTGGTGCACAGGGCTCTCACACCACCCCAGGTACAGTTCTAGGGCTCAAATTGATCATCAGCTGATTGTCAGTCCCAGGTGCTGGACCACACTAGTTCATGCTGGGCAACAAGCACCCAGCTTTCAACTTGCCAGTACAGGGCGAGCCCAGGATCATGGTCCTGGGGTCCCCCTGTACCGGCAAGTAGTAATGGAGTGATTTGTATCTGATCCCGGATCCCAAATCCACGCATCCTGTCATACACGTGTGGCATGAGTGGAGGCGTGATTGTTGGGCTTGGGGATTAAATCCTAACATGCCACTGAATGAATGTGTGCCAGGGTCCCCAGAGAAACACCAGAAAGGCAGGCACATCTACTTGTCCTCTACTCTGGGATTGTCTGTATTCACTATATTGGAACATAGGACTTGCACAATGAAATGGAGCAGTGGTCTACCTTGTCCACTGGTGGACAACAGCTAGTACCACACATTTCCAAGGAAGCTGTGAAGCAAGAAAAACTATATAGAACAAGGTATATTTCTTCCCCCACAAAATATGTTCAATTTTACCCTGTAGAACGTATTTCTGTATTTATATTTTTAAAAACATACTAGCTGTGTCTACATGTGCGCTTAACAACACAGTAGATTTAATTAGCTGCGGAGTGAAACGTCACTGTCTAGACATGAAAAGGTATTAGGTTGCAGTAAATTAATGCCACCATAAGATAGTACTTATGATGGCGGGGTAATTAATTGTGATTAAACACACATGTAGACACTGACCACAGGTGTATTTATACCCAGTCAACCAAGCCCGCAGGGGGCCAGTCTCCTGCCTGCCACCTAGCCACATGGCTCCAGACTTGCAGCACTCTCATGCCCTAGCCAGACCCTCCACTGCCATCAGGAGCCCAGGGCTGACTCCCTGTGCTGGTCCTGCCATAAACTGCTCCACCCCAGCTCAAACTGATGCTATCCCAGGCACATGTGTAGACGCTGCACTCAGGAGTACTCCAACTCAAACTGCTTTGGAGTTTATTGCTTTGAATTAATTGCACGTGTAGATGTCCCCAGTGAGGTTTTTTTAAATCAAATTTATCTAGTCAAGCAAAACCCTACTCTTTGTACTAAGAGAATAATTTGCTTATAGTAGTTTCTTCCTAATGCCTTAAAGAAGAAAAAAAGAAAAAAAAAAAAAGGAAAAATGTCTCTAATACAACTGTAGAAAAGCTTTATTATCCATATAATGTCTAATTCTATTTTGAATATTTTGAAATATTTGGCCTTGATTACATCTTACAGCAATGAATTTCATAGATCAATTGTGTGTTCAATAAGAAATTATTTCCTTTTGTCAGTTTCACTGAATGTCTCCTTGTTCTTTAATTGCAAGTAAGGAAGAATACAAAAACTAGATGTACCTTTTCTATATTATCCATTATTTGTGGCTCTTTTCACCATTCTCCTTTTTAAACAAAGTCAACACAAGCTGTTCAATCTTTCTTTAAACGGAAATCTTTAACTCTTTCCAATTACTTATTCTTCTTTGTTTTTGAATTCTTCCTAATTTTACTTTATTCTTATTAAGTCAGGGTAAGCAGAAGTGGACATATATTTCAGGTGAGGGAATCATAGTGATTTATTTAACAACATTATGCTGTTTTCAGTATTAATTTCTAACCAACTCCTTTTCAGTCTTAACACTGAGTTTCACTTTTTTGACCACTGCTAATTACTGAGGAGACACTTCTATTTAATTGCCCAAAGTTAAATCCAAATTTTTCTCTTGAGTATTTATACAACAATGGAATGACTTTGCATTTAGGAAGATAGCACAGTAAGGAAAGTTCCTATCAACAACGAAGTGCCATAATGTTACTATTTTTTGTGTTTGCTTTGCAATAAGCAATATTGCTTCTAGAATTAAATGTTGGGGTCCAACAATTATTACCTTTTAATCATGTTGAACATTGATCATTTGATTCTACTCCTCATTTGCTCTCTCTCTCAACCACTTTCTAATGGATGATAGTTTATCTCTCATTCTGTAACTATCTATTTTCTCCTAATAGCTTGTTAATAGGTCTTTGTTTAGTTTATTTGGAAGATCCAAGATCTTGGTCCTCCTTTACTTCCCATTCTGCTGACATGTTCAATGGAATCTAATAGATTAGAGAGGCAAGACTTTCTTTTACAGAAACATAACTGAGACACAGCTCTCTTGCAACGTACTGAATCAAAAAACAAATGGTATACAGTCAAACTGAAAACAGAAATGTAAACAGTAAAATTACGCATTGATCCTGGAAGCTTTTCTCATGCTGATTAGTATTTATTCAACATATTTCTAAATGCAACAGTAAGAAACTGTGAGCTCAATCATGTAAGCAAGTACTGCTCAAGATGAGGAAAAGTTACAGAATCAGGCCTTTGTGCACTGGACAATTAGTTTTCCAGGTACAAAAGGATGATTATTCAATGTAGAAGATAAGTCACACGTGATCCTATATAGTTCCCATTTGCAAAAATATATATATATATTTAAGCACATGCTTAAATTTAAGCCTCATTGTTTCAATGCTGTCTTCAATGTAGATACATTCCTGAATTGTGATCTGTTTCAAAAAGCAGATTCTCAGGAAGCTCTGTTTCAGGCTAAAGAGCTCTTTTTAAAAAGGAAACAGGAAATATAACATGTAAAAATAATTTTTTTCAGAGCTTCTGAAGTCTAAAGGGTCCTAAAATAAGCAGTGCCTTTACATCAATCTAAGCCAAAACAAAAATGAAGAATAATAAAGTAAAATATGTACCTTGAAGATTTCTTTCTTACCCTCCCTCTCCAACAAACTTATTGACATATAGCTATAAGAAGGATGATATATTGCAGCTATTCAAATACTTGTCAGCCAACCAGATCATTCAGACAATCTATACAATTTTAGTAAGGATTTTTAATGAGGCTAGATGCCAGAGTACAGCAGCTATCTGTCAATGGCAGCTTCACAACAGTTATAGTTTTACAGTGAGAGGTATAGAGGAACATATAAGAAAAAAACCTACAGTTTTTAGCATCATGAACAAAATGCATAATATAAAGCAGCATACTTTTGTCAAATATACAGGATAACCTCATTATAATGAATCGTTATGTGACTAGGAGAAAAGTACATTAAAAGAGGGTGTTCACTAAAATAGGGTTAGTCAATTTGCTTCATCATAATAATGAAAAACTCTCTTCCTGCTGTTGGGACTTAAAATCCGGGGTTTGTTCTAATAAGGTCTCACTGTATACAGAGAACAAATGAAAGGAAATATTACTGCCGATATAGTATGGGAACATGCAAAAAAAAATCTCTCCTGGTACTAGCAAACCCTTTACAAAGTCTAATTTGATTCTTTTGCCATAAACATGAAAATTTCTGTAGTATTAGCATGAGCAGGAAGGCTCAATATGATTAAAAAGCCTGTAAACCAGTTCAGAAATTCTAATTACTTTACTGTTTTTAAACCAGCACTGCTGTTTAATCTCCATAGCTTACCATTAGTGAATGTCTATTGGCTGAAAGAAGGCCTGTCCCATATCCTGACCCAAGACCTCCCATTGCTCCATTATGAGAAGGCCCTATTAATCCATGCATGTCGCTATGACTACCAGGCATGGCTGTTGAAGGCCCCACTGCGTGGTTCCGGAGAACATGAATAGCATCGTCCAGTCTTTCCAAGCGGTCTTCAATCCGGCTTTGCTGTTTGTTTATGAAAAACAAATCAAGAGAAGCATCAGCAAATGTGAAGGGCCATTTAACATTTGGACAAAACATACACAGATTAGGTATGCCACATAGTCTATTGCTGTTGGGGGGGTGGGGGGTGTTGGGGGAGGGCGAGGGATGAGATCTGCAAATGAAAAGAGTCCTTTTTATTTCTTCCCCTTTTTTGACAACACTGATATTGTTGTTTTGGGTTTTTTTTCTTTAGGGAAATAGTTAAACTATCATTCTAGGGAATTAGAGAGAACTATTATCATAAGCACAGCTTTCATTTTCATGGGCAAAACAGGTTCAATGATTCCTCATGAACATAGTCATTACAGTACATATGTTGCCCTCTGTGATCTTTGAAAAGTTTTAGTGTTACTTTAAAAAAAAAGAAAGAAAAGAAAAGAAAAGATACTATTACTTTTAACCAGTATCTGTCAGGGCTTTTCGCCCTCCCCACATCATCACAGAATCACACACAAAAGAGTTAGCAAGATCCTATTAGGTCATACAGTCCCTCTCTATTATCATTATTAATTTTTCCCTAATTAACTGCGCATCCTAAAACCATTTTAAAAGTGTCTTTGGTAAGAGCAGGAATAAAAACATTTCCTAAACTTAAAAGGTTAGAATTATGTGGCCTTCGTGAAATGTGGAAAAGATAATAAAACAGAAAGGCACTGGACTGCTATTGATGGCAGCATTTCTAATAGGCTTCCTTCTTTGTTCTAGAATAATTCAGTCCATGCTGAAGTACAAACAAATCCTTAATTTCTCTCCAGGAGGAGAGGGTATCTAGACTACCACAGGAATTATCCCCAAAACTGAACCATATATAGCAGTGGTGCTGACTCAACAGAACTGATCATTGTTTTGCTGAGAACTTCCTTCCAATATCATTTTTCCTGTAAGCTAGAAAAACAGTGTCACGGCAGTAAATTTAGGTCAAAGAGAAGCAATGGACTAAGTTACAATAACCACACTTGGTTCTTCTGCTCCACAGTGCTATTCATACAAGGAACCTGAATTACTTTACAAAAGCAGGTAGGGAAACTGAGGGACCATTGTAAACTGTGTACCAAAGGCCAAATCACTTCCACAGCAGAAAGAGGAGTAAAACACATATCTTGATTCAACTACTATGCCGTACCTATTCAACCATACTTTCTCTCCTAGCAGATGTCACATCTAAAGCAGGCATGCCTGCATGTAACTTTTTGTTTCTCAGCAAGGTATGCACGGGATTGGGTGACTGGGAGAGCCCCAAATCATTGGGAAGCTTTTTTCATTGAAAAAAAAACAGTTCTTCACAACTTACAGATATCTGGAGCAACTAAAATACAAATATCACTGCTACACCTCTGCACACTTTCAACACCACACTACAGAAAGGCAGGATAAGCTAGAAAGTATCAGACAATGAATCATGGTACAGATATTTGTATTCAGCCAGATACTGAAGTCCTTACTAATTCCTGACTCAGGCAAAACTCCCCCCTGTAGTCAATGGGATTTTTGCATGATTCAGTCGTACATGGCTATTTATTGTGCTCTCAGAAACTGATTGTTGCTTCATGCTGAGAAGTTTTTAATCTTTATCATTATTTACATAGCAACCAAAAATATGATAAACACTTTTCAGTAATACGAGACAGCCTCTTGGCTTGCAAACCGGACACACAACAGACAGAACAAAAGATACAGCCTATTTAAAAACCTTGTCTGTTTGTCACCAACATGTTCCTAGGAAGCCCACAACTCATAACTAACCTTTCCTTTTTAAAAAACTATCCCCATTTTATATTCCAACAGCACTAGCTGTTGTTATCACGTTGGTTCTTGCCAGTTCATCCAGGAACTTAATGCTGAACACTTTCACACATACCAGAAAGAAGCCAAATGCATTATGTAAACCTCTACTATATTTCCCTCCCTAAATAAAAGTGACCCTGACTTGCGAGACCCTTTCACCTTATCCAGCTTCTCAGCAGCCATTTGACGTTTTCTCTTTACTCTCCCTCCTGCTGTGCCTGGTTATTTTGCATATCTCTCTCTCTCTCTCTCTCTCTCTCTCTATATATATATATATATATTCAACAACACTTTGCCTATAATACAGTCGGACAGTATACCTGGTCAATCTCAGAAAAGAAAAAAATCTAAGAAAGTGGGTCCCCATGTTACCAATGATCAAATAGTGTTAAAATCCAAGGGCATAGTAATCACTAACAAAATGGAAACCTGTGTGAAAAGAATGGATGAAAAATGGAAAGAACAGCAAGTAAAATACTGAGGCAGAGGAGGTCACTAATCGAAACATACCAAAGAGTGTAAGGGACCTTCATAATTGGGAGATGATGATGCTTGCCCTCCATTTCTAGACCAAACAGCTGTGCCTGCTAATAGTAAAATGGGAATTACCATTAGAACTATGCAAACAAAAATGTCTTTCAAACTTTTTGGACAGTTTTGTAGACATGTAAATGCCATTTTCCAGATAGACTATAGAGCAGACATATGGAGAACTTCCAAAATATACATGGATGAAAAAAAAGGTATTTTGTAGCAAAGCACGTAGATGCCGGCCACAACGTCCCCCCAGGCTGCTTCTTAACATAGAGGATTTCATTGATTCGGCAGCTGTACATGAGAGAGGCTCCAGCAGAAGGAAATGTCTCACTGGTAAAAGGAGAAGTAGCACTCTCAAAAGTGCTAAGAGGGGACTGCTAGATTTCTATGTAAAACTAGCACACACTAGTTCATTATCCTATCTTTGGTTCAATGCATATATAGTGTCACTGAGTCATTCAATCATCAAACTTACAGTGTAGTTTATTTAAAATATATATAGATCTATATAGGACTACTGAGAAACAATGGTGCTGCATAAATACCACACGCACAACATGTAGTCACACTTCTGACTTCTACCAATGCTTTGACTTAACTGATGCTATTTGCACTCTTTTTTTTTTTTTTTTTTTTTTTGCTTTTACAGAATTTAAAAGGGGCCAAGAGAAATAAAACAACTCTTGGATAATGTTCATTTGTTTATATCTGTCGAACTGAATCTCTTTCTATTCCAAAAATAAAGCTAAAATATTGGTCATTTGATTTCATGCAATAGCATAGCTGCTAAACAAAATATGTGCCACCATTTAAGGGGCATGCCAAAAATTGCGGACAGAACTGTCAATTGAAGGACCTGTTTACGGCACAACGTCCATTTTACTTTTTGTATTTCACTGTCTGAAACAAAGGATCTTCTGAATAGTCCTCTAGAAGAAAGCTGAGAATTAAAAGTGGAACTTCAGGATTTTAATCTTAAAATCTAAATTAAGTGGCATTTTCTGGCATTAGAAGGGCAGGTCAAAGGTGCAGTAATAGCCTTTTAAAGTTCTCAGTTGGATTTTTCTCTTACAACATATTGACAAAATAGTGTCAATTTTGATTAAACCCTAAACATTCTCTATTCTGGCCTTCCCTTTTTTGTATGCTTCTTTAAATAACAATTTTGCTACACCACTGAATGCAGAAATGAATTGGCAATCAATATTTTCATATTGTTTCTGACTACTCCACAGTATCTTGAGGCCTAAGAGCACTGAACAATTTAAATCTCCTTTGAATTTATTTATGCTAGTTATTTTCAGTGACTGTGACACTTTAGATGTCTCCATTTACTAAGTAAACTTTGTCAGGAAAAAAATTAGTCTAAATTGCCTACTATACCACTACTTTCCTCAGCTGCAAATCAAATCTGTTCTTATGCTAACAAATGAAAATAAAACCCTTAGAAGAAATATAGAGCATTGTGATTAGGCCCTGTTTAAGGACAGTGACTGGTACAGAGGAAATAAAACAGTCTGCTGTCTCCCTGGACCCTTCCTTGGGGCTCATTCTGCAGTGGGGAAGATGATGGCTAGTTCAGTTAATCAAAGGGCTAATCAACCCCTAGTGAGAGCTTGATGTTTGAGAAAGGCAGCAGCCCTCACGCCAGCTGCATTTCTTGCGGGACATAAACTTAATTAATCTCACCACACACACCTTCTGTGCCCAGTGTTTCTAAGAGAGGGTAAATTCAGTGTGATTTTAAAGAAAGCGCCCTCAGAAAGAAGTCTGGGGGTCTGCTATCTTTCATTTTGCTACCAGGTAATCTTCTGGTCAACCTTTTCCTCACTCTTATTAACCTTTCCATTCCACTCACATTGCTCAGGCAAGTAACATGGGATTTTTGTTGGAGCAGTGTGAAACATCAGGCACATGAGACCTATCCCATCCTCAAGAATAATTAATCTCATGGGAATTGAGGGACAGATCTTGCCCAATCTAGGAATTAATAATGCTAGACACACTTTGAAGGATAATTTAGTGTTCCTTTTGACATTTCAAAGTAATTTGACTGGCCCTAGCGTAAGCGTTCCTGGGACCTGCAGCCAGAAAACAAGAGCAGGATACTCAGTCAACCCGTGACATATACCCAGGGCTGAAGGGAGGGTGGCAAGCTGAAAGAGCTCCCTCAAAACATAGTGCAGAGCTCATCAGGAATATTTATATGGGCAGAAAGGGCTTAAGTTTCTGGTTGAAAAAGCCCCAAAGTTTGTGAAATCTGAATAAACTCCAAAGGAATTTTTCATGGTCATGAAAACCTCCACTGAGCCTCTGCGTCTTTTCAGCTTAGGCCTTCATTAATGGTACCTTATGCTTCCAAAAAAAAAAAAAAAAAAATCAGCTATTGGATTTCTTTAAAGTACAAATATATCACCACAAATTTCTCTTGATAAGGTAAGAATATCCTCAGTGCCACAGCATACAATACATTAGTTAACTTCATTGTGGTTTTCTTTTCCCATAGACACATTTTATAGGTCAAATTCAAGTAGGCATTTGCCTGGCAAGCAGC